TGGAAAAGATTCGTCAACAGGGAAGAAATTCAGCAGCTCGGATTGGGATTCTTTTAAAGCACAAATACATCTCAAAAGGGCTTCAACCACCTTTACTCAAGGGTGAAGATAAGGTGTTGTACGATTTCCTGATGGAGAAGCAGTGGAAATGCCAGCTTATTAGCGTGGTTTCAAGATATCAGACTAGAGCAATCCATCCTTACGGTCTAATGGAGGATGGAGAGCTCGACGAAAGTCACGAAATCTACGAGTTCAATCCCTTGCCTCCAAGTAAACCTGGAAATCTGAGTTGGACGCCGCGGAGCACGCGCCAAGAATTTCGTCAGTGGCGTGTCGGTATCCCCTTTATTGACATTTACAGAAGAGCAGAAAATGGTGCCGAACAACTGGTGCGCAATAACGAAGGACAAGGAAGTTGGATTGGCAATGAAGTTGAAGATGTTGGTGTGGATAAGATTTATTTGGATTCAGCAGTAATAGTGCGCCTCCGCTAAAAAGCCATATTAGAATCCTTGGGATACCGATATCTGCCGCCTTTTAAGTTATAAGCTCCCCCCCCCCCACCCACCCCACTAATAAGCACCTCCCAGTTATAGGCTCATCTCCCTGTAGACAAAAAAATACATCCCAAGCTATTCTGGTTGCAAGACCACTCGGATAAAAGCTTTTCCTGTTATAAGCCTCCTAAAACCCCTCAAAAAAGGGCTTCAGTATAAGCAGCAGTTCACGGTATGTCCAAAGAATCCTGAGTTTTTCCGAGTTTAGCATGGAACTGGATCTTGTAACCGACTTGAAAGTGATATTGACTCTTCTTCATCAGATAAGAGATCTTGTTGGTTTACTCTACATCTAAGAGAAGTTACATGAAGTTTGAATTCTTTTTTTTCAACAGATACATTAACAAAGCATTTACACAGTGCATAGCTTTATAGAAGCAAGTCTATTTTATTCAAATAGTCTGGTTTTAGCAAGTGAAGAAGTCTGGTACTGTACAAACCGAACACTAGAAAGGGAAAAATTGCAATTAAGAGAGTCCAAAAAAAGGCAACAAAACTGATCAAAATAAATAGAGTACCTAGAGTATTTTTGTAATTATTCCATACAGAAAAGACATTAAGCAGCACAAATTTGGTAGTGTCAAGGCACATTTTAAGGAAAAGACTTTTCTTCTGGTGGACATGCGCGCGTACGAGTCGCTCAAAAATTATCAAAAACGCCTTTACTCAAGTTCCCTATTTCTCAATATTCACTTTCTTCTCAGTGTGTTCCAGTCTACTCTCCTACTCATTTACTCCTGCTTCGGTTCGGAAACCTGTTCACACTGGGACGAAGGGTAGCAGAAAGCCATCCGATATGTGACGATCCACGATCAACATCGGCGCAGCGCAGCTTAGCTCCGTTACAGAAATCGCGCCAAAATCCCCGTGTTATGTGTGAACAGAAGTCCTTTCCGGTATGTATTTTGTGTCAGCTGAGGAGCTATCCAGTCCAAGTCAAGAGAGGATAGCGCTTAGCCTTCATCTTCTGTTGCCTTAGCTCGATTACATACTAATCAATTCCTCTTGAGTAGTTAGTTACATCACGGGTTCATGAGATCGTGTACAGCCCTATCTCGTTCACTTTTTAAAATATACGTGAAGATTGTCGGATCTTCCCCACTCGCTACTAATTAAAGTAGCGAATAGACTTTTCAGGCCCGCAAACAGTGTTCTCTCACATCCGAGATCCTTGGGAATATTTTTTTACGACCAACTTAAATTACATCTCAGTCAGGAACTTTGCCAAATTTTCCCTTTTTTAATAAATTAAGAAACTTATTAAACTAGGTATACCTATCGATAGAGTGCCAACGAGTAAATCATGCGTATTTTGCATAGGAATGGGATTCCGCCTTTTTTCCAACATTTGACAGTTTCTTGGTCCCTTTCTTTTGCAAGGATTATTTTCTTTACTGTCAATAAAACGGTGTCATTCATGTATCAAGGTTCCGGAGAAGAGTCAGTTCTCCGACTCCTGTGGCTTTACGAACCAGCTATATAAAAGTTTGAAGTGTCATTAGGAATGTTTTTTTAAAGAATAAAATCAGCTTTGGAGAGGAAGCGATGGGCAATATTTAGCGGGACATAAGAATGATCGATTTTTATACCAGTCCAGCTGGAAAATTACCGTCGGTTCGGTTTCACTTTGTAGATAAATATTTGTGCAGTTAAATCATTTAAACCTCCTTTCAAATTTCCGCAGGCTTTTTGTAACCCGATTGAAATTGATTGAAACTTGAATGATTCGCTGCGCAGTTTGAAATGTTTTCTAGGACATGGTGATGTACTGCACGTCGGTATTTTATTTTCGTCTGATAACTCGGCCAGGTTTCAAAAAAAAGGGAGCGTTGTTTTCTTTTCCTCTGTCGTTCGCTTTAGGCTTGTAATTTGTTTTTTTTTTTACTTATTTTTTCGTTTGCTGGTTAGCCTTTTTCGCCAACATCAGATTTTCCATCAGAAGCGACTATATTCTTCTTATCAAGCTTTCCTTATCTCCTCTTGTAATCTGATCCTTTTTAGTGTGTTGAGGATTGCTTGTTTCACA